TAAAATCATTAATTCAATTCCTGATTAATTTTCGAAATTTGAATGATCATCTGTTTTTCATAGGTGCTCTAAAACTTTTTAATTTACTTATTGTTGCCCTCGAAAAACCGAGCATATATTCACATTTCCATATCACTACAGAAATATTTTATATATCTAAAAACAAAGAACTCATTGTGTTATGAAAAGCCAAACATCGAGTTTTTATTTTACAGCCACTTTAATTTTATTTTGAGTTAAATTCTAAAATTGTAGCTTCTATGTTGTTTTTATTGTTTCTGACGCCATTTTTAAGTGAGCTTTTAGCCAAGTACCCCGATAACAGCTAAACGTTCGATCAAGGTAATTTTTTATGGCCTCAACAGACATCATAAAAAGGGCTAATGGTGTTTAAGAATGGCGATACGTTGGCGCCCTTTGCGTAAAACTGGTTAATATTCTTACTTAAGATGACAAGTGAGAAGTGATTTTGAACATCCCGTGTTATCGCTTAGAGTTATAATAATTAATAATATCTATGATATAAACAAAAAAATCAAGCGTTTTGTTTTTATTTATAATTTATGAGAAAAACACAAAGTGCTTCAGTAGTGCTAGTTTTATTTAAAGAGCTCGATTATACAGGGTGACTATTTGAAAACTTCACAATCCAACTGTTAATATCTTCATTCCCCTAAATACATACTCTAGGAATACGTGGTCGGAAATAATCTAGCTAAATGGAATATTATAAAGCATACATTAACAAAATATAAACGTTTTTATTATAACAATAATGTTTAATACAAAAGTAACTACTTTTGTAGTTTCATGTTATCGATGTATCAAAACTAAAAACATTTTTTATGTAATAAAAAATATAATAAAACTTTATATTCAATTAAAATTATATATTTATTCAATGTAACTTTTATAAAAAATATTTGAATGATCAGGACAAATAAACCTCTTACATGCTTGACATCTTTGTACGAGATTTTCTGTCTTTTTTCCATCCGCATTCTTTACAACTTCCACGTTTTGAACTTTCATTTGCATTTCCACTTGTTCCAGCTACTGCATGTACATTTATTTGGGTTTTTTGTGGAACGATTGTTGTCATCCGGGTGTTTCGGCATTTTCTGTTAAATTATATGCCAATTCTTTTATAAAAAGCCTTCCTTTATGTAGTTTATACCTATTATATTGATGATTTACATGCATATACAGAGTGGCCCAAAAGTCTGGAAACGGCTAATTATCTCGTAAATTACTAGACATAATTATACAAAATTTGAGATACGCCTATTTTGGGATACAGAAATTCCATATTTGGTATTTGCAATGTTGCCAGATTTTCAGTTTCTCTTATATTACTAATAACTTTGGTTTATCAAATGCATCACCCTGTATATTTAGTCATTATTGGAATCTCCTATTAAATACGAGTTCAACCATATGTAACACTTATGATTTTATGTAGTCTGGAAGGTCTTAAATACATAAAACAGAAGTCTGGCAACGCCTAAATTGTGAACACGAACATAAACTGACACAAAAGCCAACATGCCTTGATATATTGTAATTTTTCTTTTTGTTGTATTTATTGTAATTTAATTTCTTTCTACTTAACATGTTTTGTTTTTAGTATTATTTTCAATCTATATTCTGACTTAATACTTGAAGTAAAAAATATGAATTTCACTTAAAGATATCAACACTCGTCTACAGGTTATGTCGTATTAATTACGCACTACTGCTTTTTTTGTAGCGATTCCATTTACGTTTTTATCAAATTTGAATGATAAACGGGATATCCCAAAACTCCGTGAATCTTAATTTTTAATTAACCATTAGTCAGTGAAACCTTGACTTTTCATTATGTAATAGATAAATTAAATTAAAATGTTATGTGAAAATATTAGGCCAGTCATTGAATAAAATTTTTCTTGGAGCTCTTTTGCCCACGGTGAAGCCTTATTAATGTACAATTTCTTTCCTAATGGTTTCTCAAGCATTTTAATCGAATTATCGAGTTTTGGAAAGAATAGATCTCAGTGTGTTGATTGTTTTAAATGTTGTTGTGATGCATTTATTTCCTGTAGCTTTTTAATTTTTCTGATAAGCCTTCTACATAATATGGTATTGTTGTTTTGAAGCTATTTTCTCGTGGCATCTTAATGCAAATTACTATTTTTATTGGGAATAAGTCACAATTTTACTTGAAAATTAACTCATCGTTGGTAACTTTTTGTAGCAATGAAATTCTCAGCATACGTCTGTATATGTACATTTCAAAGGCATCTATTTTTTTTTTTTCACAGTTATAGACTACTACAGAGAAAACATAACATCCGATCATTCGGATTCTGAGCTCCAGACTAAGGTCTAATCTTATAAAAAAATGTTTTCATGTTAATGAGTGTTTCTGAGTAAGTCTTAATAAATATACATCCGTTTTGAAACTTTTATTTATTGTTATATAATCGAAATGGTTCCTGATTAACTGGAAAGAAAATAATTGATGGAAATTCGATGCAAATCATGCATGCTTAATAATTTGCCCAAAAAGTATATGCAAAGATGTTGCCAAACAGTGATTGAAGCTCATTTTTACTGATTCAAAAATTCATTATTTGGTTTTTAACATAAATTGGGCGTTAGAAGAAATTTTGACACTTTATTTTGGACTGGTTGTACACTTTTTGGTTTCTTAAAGTTTCGTCTCTAATGGAGGTCGGCAATAACTTCCACAAATTCGTCTCTATTATGGTAAGGTTTGGACATATAGTCCTTTCCATTCCTTGATGTTACGTAGCAATGCTATTTGATGCCTGACAGTACGGTGTTTTACTTCTATTTTTTCATCGATTATTAGTTAAATGAATGAAGTTATATCTCTCGCCTCTAAATAAAGGGTTTTTTAAAGAGATATAGAACCTAGAAATGGAATAAAACGAAGATGATTTTTTATAAATTGACATGAAGTTGACTTTATTTGAAAGATAATCTTTTAGCACTATAACTTAAATATAATTTCTGGCGTATAACCAGAATCCAGTATAACTATGTGGTTATCAAACGTTTTCTTCAATAAACCAACTGTGGCTCGAGCTGTATGACATGTTGCGCCGTCTTATTCAAATGACAGCTCCTGCACATCATTATTGTTCAATTGGGGAACGAAAAGGCAGTAATCATGGCTCTATAGCGATCACCATTACTGTAACGTTCTGGTCAGCATCGTTTTTGAAGAACAGTTCAATGTTTCCACCAGACCATAAAGCATACCAAACAGTCAGTTTTTCTGGATGTAATGGTTTCTCAACACACATTTGAGGATTATCTTAACTCCAAATAGGGCAGTTTTGTTTGTTGACATAACCTTTCAACCAAAAGTGAACTTCATCGCTAAACAAAATTGGCTTATGAAAATCGGAATCAACGTTAATCTCGTTTTGGACCTACTCACCGAATCTATGAAACTACGCATTGCTAGATGATGGATTTTGTAAGCACGCAAAGCGAGATCTTTACACAAAATCTTCCGTAAAGTGGATGGACACGTATTCAACTGCTGTGCACGATGGCAGATAGACTGATTTGGGTCTTTCTGTATTCTACTCTCTACAGCAGCAACAACTTCTTCTGTACGCACTAAACAACGTGTTTGTGGATACATTTTATCATTCAAAGTAAACGTGGTGCAAAAACGTTCTATGGTTAATCGAAGTATTTCGAACAGAACTACCATTTTTAAAATAAATTTGTACAATTTGAAAGAGTTGTTCAGGCTTCAAGTCTATTCATGCTGAAATGCCAAACCAAACTTAACATAAATCACTTGACAGCTGTCAAAATAGCCGGCAGTTAAAAAAGTGTTACCAACTTACATTTCAATACCTCTCAAAAAACACACCCTTTATATGTACAAGATAAAATGTTTTCCGTTTTTAATGGATTTATGTTTTCGGTGTTCGCCATCTAAAAAATTTGGCATTTTGGTTTCAATAGAGTTCACGTCTTCTATTTACATCATTGGAATCGATGCATTTCGGATTCCCATACCACAGAATAAATAACAATTAGAATTAATGCCTAATTGGCTGTATACCATCGTTTAAAAAAACACAGAAGTTAAAACACTTCACAAATGTGTATTTAGGTATAAAACAAACAAGTTAAAACTTTTTAAAAAAGTGTCGTCATTACAACAATTAGAATGCCCACTCTCAGATGCCGCCTTTGAAGTGTGTCAGCATGCGATCGCCATATTTGAAATGGAAACAAACTAGGATTGAGAAATTTGTGACAAGCTACTATCTATCTATCTATCTATCTATCTAATTAGCCTTCTTCGGTCCATCTTTTGGACATAGGCCTCCCCAATCCTTTTCCATTCTTCTCTGTCTGTCGCTACAGTCATCCATCTAGACAAGCTACTACTGAACTATAATTTAAATTTTTGGTGATTAATAATTTAGTAAATTTGAAATAATTTAATTGATTCTGATTGTTTATTATTCTGTGCCCATACCGATACTGAAACCAAATTGCTGTGCTCCCATATCCTCTTCGCATTTTTTGTAAATGCTGTAGCGAATTATTTTCAGAAATAACTTTAACATATGGCACATGAATCTTATCACTTGAAAGTCGTTCCTTTTTTGGTATAAACATTTTAAAATAAACCATTTAATTTTTTTAAAAATCTTTTAAAGCGGTTAAATTTTTTTTTTAATATTTGTTTAACGGGTCCCCCTCACCTTGGCGAGCAATTTATTTAATTTTAGAAGTTTCGTGAAAACTTAGTAATCATTCATAAATACAGAATGTGTCAGAATTTTATTACTGGTTCATATTCGGTACTACTACTACCGGTCTATTCGGCTAAACATCCGGTATTTTCTATCTATTTCAGCGCTGATTTTAAAGTAACTACGATAAGATAAAAAAATCGCAGTCTGCCGCGATACTATAAATCTAGCAAAGGTTTAGTTATTTCATATACTGGAGTGGAATCCGATATATATAATGTAAATGTGACCATGAACGGAGTTCGGTACTAACTTGCTTTGGATATCGTAAATTGCCTTACTTACAATAGGTAGAGGTACTTACTTGGCTTGATTGTCACTTGATAAACAACAGAGTATTTGATAAAAACACACGTTTCTGTAGTTTGTTTTTAATATTATTTGTTTGTGAACTATGAACTAATACGACGGATTCTTTGTAAGTACCTACTTAATAATTAGTTATATTGTGTTTTTTTTTTAAATTGACGTTTATTTGCCATGTTACTAATTGATGAATAACATTCCTATATCGTTTAATTTCAAACATAAATTACTTTTTTGTACCAAAAAAGGTATAATTTTACTGTTCAACTAATACATTTCTAAGGAAATAATTATTGTTGTTTTGATCAGTTAAGGATCAATTTACTTATTTTGGTTGTCTTTTTATTTCAAGTAGTTCTATGTTTCTAATTTGAGTGCTTTATTCCCATTGAATGCTGGCTATAATTACTTTAGTATGAACTTTATCCACTGCTTGAACTTCATACCATCCACGAAGATTCTTTAGAAAGAAATACGTCCTCGGACCAGAGGTATCGGTTCCTCGATTTTCCGTTCTATTATACGTTTTAGAAGTTCGTATTTATCATTTCTAAATAGGTTGCCAAAATACTACTGCTTTTTAATATTCTGTGGTAAGTAAAACTTCCAGTTTTTTATTTACCTATTCTGAAAATGACATCCTCGAGCCGTATCTGTACATTCAATGATTCTATACTCGATTTAAAAATGTTCGAAAACACCATTTTTATAACAAAAGATAACAGCGGCGTTTTACAGTACTGTTCAAAACAAAAAAATTATACATAATCGACACTTTCTTGTCGCAGTTTTGTATATATGTACTATACTAGCATTTATAAAAATAACATGACCACCTCGACAATACAAAATAAAATGCAAATAAGCTTTATCATAACAAACCATGCTATCAATTATTTTCAAACGAGTTATAATCACCATACGATAGCACTGTATTTCAAATATATCAAATTTTTATATCTGAAATTAATCGAGAGTCCTTGCTACTCGTAATGGATAAAATTTGAGATGGATAGAAGTACCATCTTGCCAATAAAAAAAGTCAGCTAATTCCATAACAATTATAAATACTTTAGCATTACTTGCTGCATTTGCTACTGCATCCGAAAAGTCTTTAAAATCATATATTTTACCCATTTGCTGCATGGAGCGTTCCACTTGGTGGTGAAATGAGTCCGCAGCCATGAAGGTATGGCCAGGCTCAAAATAATTATATTTAATTTTTCAAGTGCGATATCCTCAGAGTTTACAATAAACGTAAAGAAAGTAAACAAAGCCCAGTTTTTATTTTGAGCAGAGCAATTTTGTCAAGCGACATTATAATATTTTTAGCGTCTCGGTGAGACAAAAAAATTTATAGAATGTGCTGGTAATATCCAACTTACTACTCCGTCCGGCTATTCCTTCGTGCCATAAAATTGCAGTTGGTACTGTTGACTTTCTAGCAGTGACGACAAAACTTTCATTAAAAGCAATTATTCTACGCGAAAAATAATCTCCTTAAACATATCCATTCTAGGAAGCATTATGACCTAAAATATCACAACAAAATAAAGCATTTATAATTAATATAATATTTTATTATCTTTTGCAAATCCGCTGAAACTACCATTGATGTATCGTCCCAGTTACTTTTTGCAGACGGGTCAGCTTGATATTCAGATCTGGCAGCAGTGTATTTATTTAACCAGCAGTTGGTGCATTCCTCACAATTATCTACCAATGCATCCTTTTTGTGAGACGTGGATTTTGAATGCAAGTCAAATGATTCAATTGATTTTTCAATAAAATTCTGGTACATCATTTTTATTGTGATGTCAGTGGAGAGATCGACCAATAAAGTAGCAAAAGACTCGAAAAAATGCTAAGTGAACTAAAAAATACATCAACTGCAAAATATCTGAGAGATTTATTGGCATTAGAAGCCACAGATTACACCCTTTGAAAAGCTACCAGAAAATTGTTACGACCACAACAACATATACCACCTATCCAAATGAGTAGCGGACATTGGGCAAGCACTGATGATCAAAAGGGAAATATATTTCTCGGACACTTGGAAACTATCTTTACTAGATTTCCCGAGATTTTGAAGATCTTTGTTAGAACTGTATTTAATTCATTTTTATATAGTTTTCCCCTTTTTTCTGTTTTTTTTATTGGAGTACTTTTGACCACTGTGGTGTGAAATTTCTTTTGATCACAGTGTATTTATTTTGATGTAGGTACACCAAAGTTGGTGCATTCCTCACAATTATCTACCAATGCATCCTTTTTGTGAGACGTGGATTTTGAATGCAAGTCAAATGATTCACACAAGCAGCACTCTTTCTATCCTAATTTTACGAATGAAATATTTAAAGTTGCGACAACTTCTCGATATAAATAATACGAAAACTTGATATTTGGATATTTTTCAATAAAATTCTGGTACATCATTTTTATTGTGATATCAGTGGGAAGATAACGTCGTTCTGAAGCGTGTTTCTGACGGTAATGTGGTTCTGTGGGTTTGAAAGATTCTATATGTTCTTTCGATCTATTTTAATTTTTTCAGTCTTTCCTTGTTTATTCCTGTTGGCCGTCACTTTTGAATTTGTTTTAGTAAGGGCATCTCTAATAACTCTATCATTTTTCTTTTCATATCCCAGCGTTCTCATAAAAAATATTTTGCAGACACTTTGTTTGCATACGTCATTGTCTTTAAGAAAATATAAAAAACTTTTTTTAAACTAACAAAACTTATACCTAAAATGCCTGGTGCGGAAGAATATTTTTGTAAAAATGCTTATGTATTTATTGTTAGGAGGTCAGTGTTAATATTTAAAATGATATATACTGGGTGTTAACTAATTTTTGACTTGCGGCTCACATGTGCGTCATGTGCTGACTGGCGCTTATGTGAGTCTTACTAATTTGGTTTCTATTTTTGTCAACAAATAAATAAAAGACAACTAAAATAAAAATATCTATATATTGCACAAAAAACATTACAGTTTTCCAATCAAAATAGTTTATAAAAATATTTTTATAATTCAAAAAACTAAAAATTCATAACGTCAAACAAATTAAATTATAACAATTGCATAACATAAAAAATAAAAGACTTTACTCTAAGCATGAAAATCAGTAAAGCACCAAAGTCCAGGTTTTTCCGGACAGTTTTCACAATGATATATTGTTTGTTTTCGTAAATTTTTTGAACGTTGCCTACAACGTTTTCTTTGTGTTTTGCCAGCATAACTTACCGCAGATATTTAAAATAATATGTGGTGCTTTGTTGTTTGTACTAATTTTCTTTTGTTGATTTTGTAAAAGCGAGGTAAAAATCGATAATCGAAAATCATAGAGTGACATGTCATGACCTGAGTACTCATTCTATAATAAATGTGAATTTAATAGCATTAGTTGAAGGAAATGTATTCTTAATTTTTTATACCACCTCAACGTCTCTCTGTCACAGAGATAGTAAGTAGTAACTCAGTTGATCTTGTCGGTCAACTCCTCCCATGTGCTTATTGTAATGAAATATGTTAGCAGGTTTGCTCTTCGTTTGTTGTCTTTTGTCTATATATTCAATCATGTCGTTCCCAAATTAGTTGGATATAAACAAAATGTCCCTTTTGTCTTTCCATTTTCCTACCATAGACGAGGGCCGATAATTTTTGAAACAAAAAAAAATTATAGTAGAATGAAACCTATTGGAAAAGGAAGAGAATATGCTACAAATGGAAGAAAAAATTCCACTCCATCCGAGGTCGGGAAGTGGGAGGGGGTGAGTTTTTAAGGGTAAAAATCGGTTTATCGCGATTTTCGGCGAAACTACAAGTGCTATGGAAAAAAGTAAAACGGCAAAGTTGTAGGTAACAAAAAGATCTACAACTTTTGTATTTACACTTTTTCACATAGCCTCAAAATTTTTGTGGAAAATTCAAAAAACTAAGTTTTTGGTTTTTGCCTTAGTATGTACCAAATACACTTTTGTATTTTTGGAATTGAAGAATTTATTTTTTTACCTGATATTGATTTAATCTCGCAAAAACACCCGAATTTTCAATCGAAAATTCACGCGTTAAAATATAAGTTTTTTTAAAAAAGTCAGTGGGCTTTTTGTTTGTTGAAACCTCTACTTTCCGATAATCTAAAAAAAATATACATTACTATGGCAAATGTTTTCAAAAAACGCAAAAAACAAAAGAAAAAACTCAAATCGAAAAATTTTTTTTCCGCAAATCGCCAGGAAATTTTGACATTCCTGTCAAAATTTCTTGAAGAAAAAGTCAGGACTTCCTTACTGTAAGGAAATGTCATTTCCTTACTGCAAGGAAATGATATTTCCGTACAGTTGTTAGTGTTAACCAGCAATTAAATTTATAAGCGTCAAGTTTGACAATTCAACCTCAATACGTTTCCATAGTAACCCAAGTAATTTTATTAGGAATTTCAAAGCACCATTTATTTGGGAATAAAATTATCGCGTTTTTTTTAAATCAATCAATATCTGTCGAATTTTAAACGATTTGCGGAAAAATAGTATGTTTATCTCGTAGGAAAAGCCACATTCCTGGACTCTGTTGCTAAGTCTCGGCTTGCGCCTTGACTTAGCAATCTTCACAGTCGTCCAGGAATGTTAAGCTTTTCCTACCCGGTAAACAATGTACTATTTTTGATCATTATGTACAATCTTTTAAGATTTCATGATACATTGATAAACCAAAAAATAATAAATCCACAAAACATTAGGATTGAGAAAAGACATGTGAAAATAGCTGTTGAAACTATTCAAGATAGGGTTTAAAGGGAATTTCATCAAAAAAATGTGACTGCTATTACTATTTTTTTCAATGTGACTGCTTCAAAACAAATAAACTCACTAGTCCATCATCAACAATGAATCTAAAAAAATCGATAGGTTCTTTATTGCTTGAAATTGTTTGAAGAAGTTGCTTTTTTTTAGTCAACTGGAACTTTTTCATTTCTCTCGATATATCGGACCACTGCAAAATACTATAAATAACATCATTTGTAACTTCCGACTCTTGAGTGGATATATCATCAATTGCCACAATAACATTTTTTTTGTAACAAAGTACCATAAAAATCAATTACCTT